CCCTAAACCACCCTAAACCCTAAACCTTGAACCCTAAACCCTAAGCCCTAAACCCTAGACCCTAAACCCAAAACCCAAAACCCTAGGTGCCGGCGACGCCGCGGCCGAGGCGGCCGGCTTGGCAGCGGCTGGGGCGGCCGAGGCGGCAGGCCGGTGGCACTTGGCTGCTTGGGGGGTTAGGGTTTAGGGTTTAGGGTTTGGGGTTTAGGGTTTCGGGTTTAGGGTTTAGGGTTTATAAGTTTTAGGTTTCAGGGTTTATAAGGTTTAGGGTTTAGGGCCTTGGGGTTTGGTTTGATAAAATAGGGTTTGGTTTATAGGGTTGTAGGATGTATAAAAGGGGCTTGGGTGATCTGGGGGGGGGGGGGGGGTTGTAGGGTTGTAGGGTTGTCCACTTGGGGTTCAGGCTGACCTCACCCTCTCGACTTGAGCCACAGTAAAGCATCAGCGCGGGACTTGAGAATTCGAGAGCCGAGGATACACCGCTTAAGGGTATTAGGGTTTAAAAGGTTTCGGTCTTTGGGTTTTGGGGTTCAACGGTTTGTTTGTGTTTGGTATTGCGGGTATTTGCTTTTCCCGGTGTGTTTTTTCATCTACGGGAAGTTCTACAGTCACTTAATCTGGTCCCCCTTTAAAATCCCTAATCGCTAAACCCCAAAAACCTAAACCCCAACCTCTAAACCCTGAACTTCTCCAGTATTGAGGAGTTTCGAGTGGGGAGGGGGTTTGATTTTCAGGCCCTTCGGGTTTTCTCAGGGTTCAGGGTGCCATGCGTTGCGGATGCTCAGGAGCCTGAGTCCCTAAACCCTAAACCGTAAACCCTAAACCCCAAACCCTAAACCGTAAACCCTAAACCCTAAACCCTAAACCCTGAACCCGTCGAGGGCTCACTTTTCGAGCTTGGGTCTTGGCGCTCGGGTTTCGTGGCCCAGTGGTGCCCTCTTTCGCCTTTTTTTGATTCCAGGTTCCCTTATCAATTAACCAACCCCAAAAAAGGTTACCCCTAACTCTAAGCCCTAATCCCTAAAACCTAAACCTTGATTATTATCATGGTTACTGGGCTACCATGCAGGGCTTCAAGTGCAGGCCTCAACGACATACAGGTTGGCGCAAGTTTGTGTTTGGGGTTTCGGTTTAGGGCTTAGGGGCCCTCTAGAATCACCTAAACCCTAAAGCCTAAAGCCTAAAGCCTAAAGCCTAAAGCCTAAAGCCTAAAGCCTAAAGCCTAAAGCCTAAAGCCTAAAGCCTAAAGCCTAAAGCCTAAAGCCTAAAGCCTAAAGCCTAAAGCCTAAAGCCTAAAGCCTAAAGCCTAAAGCCTAAAGCCTAAAGCCTAAAGCCTAAAGCCTAAAGCCTAAGCCCTAAACCCTAAACCCAAACCCCCTCCCCGCCCCCCGCCCCCCCACTGATCCCTTGAAGCAAAGAATTCGCAAGAAGCCCAGCGTGGTCAGGTCTCGCGCCCGAGAGCTGTGCGGAGGTGGGAGAGGGCTTCAAGACCCTTCGGGTTTTAGGGTGTAGGGTTTAGGGTTTAGGGTTTAGGGGCGGGGAGGGCGAGGGGCATTTCAAGGATGTGCTTGAGGGCCCCAACCAAAATGAGCAAAGCCCCTTAACAGATGCAGTTCATGTGTGTGCATTTTTTAGCTGGTCATTTTTGTTGAGGAAAGTTCGGGTTCTTTAAACCCTAAGCCCTAAACCTGGCAGCCTAAACCCTAAACCTTTGTTTGTCGTGTGTGCTTTGGTCTTCTTACTTTACCAGGGCGGGGGAAGACGAGCTTCCGTCTGCTCCTCTCTCGCCGCGATAGTCCCCTGTTGCCTCACACAAGCACAGGGTTTTGGGTTTAGGGTTTTGGTTTAGGGTTTGGGCTTTAAGCGAACTGCGCTCTGCGTGCGCATGCCCTCCCGAGGGTTTCGGGTTTAGGGTCCAGGTTTTTGGGTTTTGGGTTTTGGGTTTAGGGCACGGACAAGCACGCAGAGAAGCAGGTTGCGGGCTTCAGCCCGAAGCTCCTCATAAAGTCAGTCCCCGAACCCGAACTGCTCTTCGAGCCCTAAACCCTAAACCCTAAACCCTAAATCCTAAACCCTAAACCCTAAACCCCTGCAACTCCCGAGCTTTGAAAACCCTAAGCCTGAGACCCTTGTAAACCCTGCAAAACCTGGTGTTATCTATGAGCCCTGTAAGCCTAAAACCCTGTAAATCCAAAACCCTGACCCAAATCAAAGCCTAATTTAGCCCTGCAATTAAACCCTTAACCCTTACTAAACAATGTAAATCCTAGACACTGTCAGCCCAGTTGAAACCCTAAACCCTAAACCCTAAACCCTAAACCCTAAACCCTAAACCCCAAACCCTAAACCCTAAACCCTAAACCCTAAACCCTAAACCCTAAACCCTAAACAAAAGCCCCTCACAAGCCCCCCCCCCCCCCCAGTCGGGAAGGCAGCCGGGCGTGGCGCCTTCAACGCCGCCACGGCCGAAGGCGCGGAGATGGACCCAGGGAGCCAAACCGTACCCCCTAAACCCTAAACCCTAAACCCTAAACCCTAAACCCTAAACCCTAGCCCTAAACCCTAAACCCTAAACCCTAAACCCTAAACCCTAAACCACAAACCCTACAGTTTGGGGGGTTTAGGGTTTTGGGGGTAGGGTTCAGGGTTTTAGGGGTTTCGGGTTTCTCTTTGTTTAAGGACCCCGATACGGTACCCCAAATTTCGGAAACCCCCATATCGCAGAGCTCAAGTGCATGCTTCTCGGTTTTTGTTGAGTCATGTTGCACCTTCCCGGCTAGACCCCTCATAGTCGGCATGCTCCGTGTCTTGTGCCTCTCTGCATTTCTTCAATTCCCTGCCGTTGTGCCGGCTCAGATTTTTATACCTTAGGGCCTTAGGGCGTGGGGCAAAGAAGCCGGGTTCAGGCTGAGTCTGCGCAAGGGGACCATGCGAGAAGCGGGAACGCTCTTGGTGATCTGCTCGTGTTCGTTCCTGTGGCATTCGGCGTTTGCTCGAAGAGCGACCTGGAGAAAAGGCAGCTGCATGCAACACTTGCTGATGCGGCCATTGTTTTTTGAGCCCCCCCCTTTGGGATGTTGCACCTTGTACTAACAGTCCTTAAGAGGGACTATAATTGGGGTACCATAATTCCTATTAGTTAAAATACTGCTAGTAAAAGGGGAACATCGTAGAAGGGGCATCTGCGTTCTCACCGGCCATACCCATATAGGGTTGGTAGGGTTGCTTGGACTACTTGGAGCCACTGCTTTACCCCCCCCCCCCCCAGTTTTGCTAAATCCCAAGCCTCGAAACTTCTCAGCCCCTAAGCCCTGAACACACAAACCCAAACCCCTGAACCCAACCCAAAACCCTTCAAAACCAGATCCCCGAAACCCATGCCCTAAACCCCCAAATCCTAAACCCCCAAACCCCTAAACCCCCCAAAACCCAAACCATAAATTCTAAACCCCCAGTTCCAGACCCCAGACCCCAAACCCTAAACTCTAAACCCCAAACCCCAAAACCCGAAACCCTGAACCCAAACCCTAAACCCCACACCCTAAACCCCAAACCCTTAACATCCAAACAGGTGTTCCCTCGGAAGCCGCCGCCCTCTTGGCAGCCTCGGCCGCGGCCGCAGCCGCCGCCGCGCGGCGCGCCGCGCAAGGACGCGAGTTCAGGGTTTCGGGTTTAGGGCTCAGGGTTGAGGGTTTGGGGTTTGGGGTTTAGGGTTTGGGGTTTAGGGTTTAGGTTGGGTTTCATACGGTGTTTATAGGGTGTCTATCGAGTTTTTACTCGAGGAATTCTAGGGATCGGGTTTATGGTTTACGGTTTAGGGTTTAGGGCTGCATGAAAATCTGCACTCCTTGGTTGTTCTCTCCAACGTTAGGGCAGTTTTCACACCATTTGGGGGCCCCAAGGCCAGTTTGGGCTGTAGTTTGGTAGTGCTTCAGGATTTTGAGGGTTTTCGGGTTTAGGTTCGGATGTTCCCCCCTTATACTAACAGTCCTTAATGGGGATTTTAGTACCCACTATGAGAATTCCTATCAAGGACTGTTAGGATAAGGGGGAACATCCCAAGGTTTAGGGTTTAGGGTTTAGGGTTTAGGGTTTAAGGGTTTAGGGTTTAGGGTTTAGGGTTTAGGGTTTAGGGTTCGGGTTTTCATATCGGGCCTAGCCTGGAGTCAAGGGATGAAGACTCGTACCATCTCGTACCCCCTAAGGTTGTACCCCCAAAGGTTCCTCTTAATAGACTCCGAATATGGCCCTAAACCCGAAACCTAAACCCTAAACCCTAAACCCTAAACCCAACCCTAAACCCTAAACCCTAAACCCTTCGGACCCCAAAACCCAAGGGTACAACCTTAAGGGTCCAAGGTTGAATCCCCATATATGGAGACTGTCATGGGCACTGATGGCTCCGCAGCCCACGTTGGCTCCAAAAGCCGATGTTTGCATTCTCAGGGATAGGCGTGACTTTCTAGATTCATAGAGCTCAGAGTAGGCCCTCAACCCTAAACCCTAAACCCTAAACCCTAAACCCTTTTTTACGGACCCAGAATGGCACCCGTTTTCCTTCCGAGGTTGCTCTGAACCCCTAAAAAAAACCTCACCGAGCGCTCCTCAACATAGCTACCAGATCTAGCTTAAATCTCAGGGATACTTGGGCACACCTTTTCATGACCCTAAACCCTAAATCCTAAACCCTCATTCCTAAGAAACAGCCAAAGTACCGTTTTTCGCTAGGGTTCCAAGTTCCATATTCAACTCCCCTACATACCCCCCCCCCCCATGCCCCAGGGGTTATATTGGTTGGTGGTCTCTTTAAGTAGGGTTTCTGTTCCGTAGGGGGTTCTTATTAGGGTATCTAGGGGCTATATTCAGGTGTAAGGGTAGCAGATGAAAAGGTCCCCAACCCCTAAATCCTAGACCTCAAACCCTAAACCCTAAACCCTAAACCCTAAAGCCTAAACCCGAAACCCTAAACCCAAGGGGTTTGGGTGTCTTCTTTGGCCAAGATGGGGCCAAAGCTCTCCAGAGGCCGGAGGGAGACGAGCCCGGAAAGTTCAAAACACCGGGAAGTGCAAACCCTAAACCCCAGAGGGTTCAGGGTTCAGGGTTCAGGGTTCAGGGTTTAGGGTTTAGGGTTTAGGGTTTAGGGTTTAGGGTTTAGGTTTTGGGGTTTAGGGTTAGTCGTCACCCCGCTAAATTCTAAATGCACAAAGCAATAGAAGCCAGCAACCCATGTGCAATAGAAGCCACCAACCCGTGTGGAATGGTGCCCTATCTTGCGGCACAGGCTCACTCCTTAACACCCTAACCCCCCCAAACCCCAAGGCTTAAACAGCACATGGTGGTTAGGGCTTAGGTCTTAGGTCTTAGGGCTTAGGGCTTAGGGCTTAGGGCTTAGGGCTTAGGGCTTAGGGCTTAGGGCTTAGGGCTTAGGGCTTAGGGCTTAGGGCTTAGGGCTTAGGGCTTAGGGCTTAGGGTCTTTCGGGTTAGGGTTTTGGAGCTCTATAGGGCTTCAGAGCTGTGAGTTTTGGAGTTTTGGGTGTGTGTGTGTGTGTATACTGCATCGTAGACTCTAAACCCTAAACCCTAGACCCTAGACCCTAGACTCTAAACCCTAAACCCTCGACCGCAGATCTTCTGGTTTACGAAAACCCTAAAGCCTCAAACCGCCAAATCCACTGTCAGAAGATGAGAGCCACGAAAATGGACCCCAAAATAGTAAGATTTCCTTAGACTACGGACCCCAACAACGTACCCCTAAACCCTAAGCCCTAAGCCCTAAGCCCTAAACCCTAAACCTTAAACGTAAGATTCCTTCCCCTGTCAGAAGATGACGAAATGCCCGGCCCGAGCGAGTCCGCGCCCCACGGCGGCAAAGTCCACGGCGTGGTAGTCCGCAAGCTGAACGGCACAGAGGCAGGAGGGGAAGGGTTTAGGGTTTAGGGTTTAGGGTTTAGGGTTTAGGGGTTAGGGGTTAGGGGTTTAGGGTTTAGGGTTTAGGGTTTAGGGTTTAGGGTTTAGGGTTTAGGGGTTGAGGGGTTGAGGGGTTGAGGGGTTGAGGGGTTGAGGGGTTGAGGGGTTGAGGGGTTGAGGGGTTGAGGGTTTAGGGTTGTAGGGTTTTAGGGTTGTAGGGTTGTAGGGTTTTATGGTTGTAGGGTTGTAGGGTTTTGGCAGGAGGGAAGGGGATCAGGTTTAAAATGACGGTCATAAGATGGCTCTAGGGGTTTGGGGTTTCGGGTGCTAGGGCTTAGGGTTGAGGGTTGAGGGGGAAGTCAAAGGCCTTCTAAGCCCTGAACCCGACATCTGAAACCCTCAATCCTGAACCTTAAGCCCTAAACCCTAAACCCTAAACCCTAAACCCTTAACCCTAAACCCTAAACCCTAAACCCTAAACCCTAAACCCTAAACCCTTGCTAAGGGGGTGCGACTCAGGTCTTGCGACAGGAGCTCCCGCACGAAGCCACCCTCCTCAGTCTGAAGCAAGCCCTGGGGGCAGAGGCGAGGGTTCAGGGTCAGAGTTTAGGGTTTAGGGAGTAGGGGTTTAGGGTTTCGGGTTTGGGGTTTGGGGTTTAGGGTTTAGGGTTTGGGGTTTGGGGTTTAGGGTCTAGGGTTCAGGGTATAGGGTTTAGGGTTTAGGGTTTAGGGTTCGGGGTTCGGGGTTTAGGGTTTAGGGTTCAGGGTATAGGGTTTAGGGTTTAGGGTTAGGGTTTTTAGGGTTTACGGTTTAGGGTTTGGAGCCCATTGCCCCACCTTTGCAGAACTCGTCGAAGCCGAATGTACCCGAAGCCGCCCCCCAAAGCCCCAAGCCCTAAGTCCTAAACCCTAAACCCTAAACCCTAAACCCTAAACCCTAAACCCCCGTGAGCTCTGGAGTCCTCACCGAGGTGGGTCTTCCTGCAGCGGCCGTGAAGCTCCTGAACGGGAGTGCCTCCAGCACTCAAAGCCTTACTCTTCTTGGCTTCCTGAGTAGTTTGTGAGGGGTGGACCCTAAACCCTAAACCCTAAACCCTAAACCCTAAACCCTAAACCCTAAACCCTGCTGAAGGTGAACCCCTGCAACCAGATCATGCGCTGATCGGTGACCTCCTTCAGGGAGACGCCGAGCTGACCCTGGCGCCCCTCTTTGAGGGTTCAGGGTTCAGGCTCAGGGTTCAGGGTTCAGGTTTGAGGGTTTAGGTTTTGGGTTTTAGGGTTTAGGGTTTAGGGTTTAGGTGTTGGGGTTCGGGGTTTAGGCAGGGCTTGCTAGGGATCAGGGTCTGGGCTTGAGTCGCTCAGTCTTAAGCCCACTTGGGTCCAAGAGTAGATACTGCATAGTCCCCTCCGGGGTCTCAGTATCTACCATAGTTGCAAGGATCCGATGGAAGACTCAAGAGTGCTGGGCTTCAGAGAACCTTAATTACCAAATCCCTGAGATCCCTCGACAACAGGGGCCTCCAAGGGTAGTTGAATTGCCCCCTTAGTAACCCTAAACCCGAAACGCTTATAGGCCCAGCCCCAGAACCCTTCAAAGAAGTAGCTGGATACTTCTCCACAATTAGGGTCCCCTAAACCCTAAAAGCCCTAAACCCTAAACCCTTCTTACAAGGGAATTCTCCTATTTGGGGATCCGTATTCTAGGGCTCCCCTATTTTCGTAAACCCTAAACCCTAAAACCTAAACCCACAACCCAAAACCTAAACCCCCAGATGAACTCATCAGGTGCAGCTTCAGATCCGGCGCGTGTATTTCGAGAGTTTGGCGTGGCGGGGTGGTCACCAGCTTGACGGCATCGCCGGCTTGTCCTCAAACGCGGAACCAGGCTCGGGTTTCTCTAATCCTAAACCCTAAACCCTAAGCCCTAAACCCTATTCATATGGACCATGACTGTTACCGTTCAAGTCGACGGCAAGGACACCCTTGAATCGAAGCTTGGCAGACCACCCAGTAGTACCCGTTCCTTTAGGTGGGCACTTGCCAGACCCCTAAACCCTAAACCCTAACCCTAAACTAAACCCTAAACCCTAAACCCTAAACCCTAAACCCTAAACCCTAAACCCTAAACCCTAAACCCTAAACCCTAAACCCTAAACCCTAAACTCTAAACCCTAAACCCTAAACCCTAACCCATAGCATTACGCGGAATACTTGAGGGGGGGGTTATACATGGTCGTTGTAAGGGGTGGGCCGCCGAGGGTTTGGGCTTTGGAATTTTTAGCCTTCCCTGAAACCCTGAAACCCTAAACCCCAAACCCTACACCCTAAACCCCAAACCCTAAACCCTAAACCCTAAACCCCTTCCTGTGTATCAACCCTAAGCCCTAAAGGTTCCTTTTTGCCCTCAGGCAGCCTCCTCACCAACCAGAAGGACAAGTCCCCCTGGCTCCTGCACCTGCTACCCGAGGGAGGCATCAAGTTCGAGTCTGAAAAGGAGCCGGGCCACTTCATCTGCAACGCCGATCCTCTCCTAATCTGAGCAGGTCTAGGGTTTTGGGCTTAGGGCGCATGATTTGCAATGTATATTGTGTATGTCAACAAATTCACATAATTAAAAGACTATATGTATATACATATGTATATATATATACATATATATATATATATATATATATATATATTGTATATATATATATATAGAGATATGTATATATATATATGTGTGTATACATATATATATATATATATAAGTGTGTGTGTGTGTACGTATGTATGTACGTATGTAAGCTCCTCCGCTTATTGCGGGTGCAAAGCACAGTTTATCTATACAGTAAAAGTTTAAACGCCTCCTTTCCTCAAAAATACTACAGAAATAAGAACTTATTGGTACCCCAAATCAGACTGCTATCATATGTTTCCATAGCTTTCTGGATGATTAGGTCTATCAGACTATCAGGCACTTCTCTGTGGAGGGAGGCACCGAGCGTTTTGAGGAGTTGTTCTGGGTTGCCCTGGTGTTGGCTGAGGATCTTGAGGGAACAAGTCCCATCCCCCACCAGTTCGGCAGGCTTTTGGTGTTCTCCAAGGGGGAGAGAGTATCCTGATGAAACCCTAACTCCAACGCCCGTGAGCCCCAACCCTCAAACCCTAAACCTGAAATCACCCTGAACCCTAAACCCTAAACTCTAAACCCTAAATCCCTACGTAAACCAAGGATGGACACGGAAGGCTCCGTCGAGGTAATGGCACGCAGGAGGCATTCCGGGAGCTTCCAGCACTGAACGGCGAAGAGGACACTGTAGTTTCGTTGGGAATGGGGCTTTAGGGTTTAGGGTTTAGGGTCTAGGATTTAGGGTTCAATTAGGGTTTAGGGTTCTTCCGGCGAGAGGGGCTCTATGTACCCAACAGCGAATTTAGTGGTAAATGCTACCAGAATGTGGAAAGATGGAGTTCCGGTAGCGTTTTTCTGCTTAGGCTTTGCGTGTAGTGCTTAAGCTCAAGCCATATGTGCTACAGCGCGGACCTCTCTGAATCCTTTCTTGTGGTTTGAGCATTAAGGAAGCCCTGTGTAGCCAAAAAATTAGCATGTGCCCGTGGGATGTTCCCCTACAAACAGTCCCTTAATAGGGATTATGATAGGGCACTATAATCGCGATTAAGGACTGTCAGTATAAGGGGGAACATCCCAAATGTGCCCACAAGTAAGTTAAGGTTCCTAAAGTTTGTTTTTGTTTGGCTTTCAAGCTTTGACCGGCAGCATAAGCTGCAGATCCGTAAAGCCGTAGCCCTGAATTGTTCCAAACCCTGGGGCCTTACGGCTTCAGGGCTTAGGGTTTTGGGATCAGGAAACCCTAAGCCTAAACCCTAAACCCTAAACCCTAAACCCTAAACCCTGAACCCTAAACCCTAAACCCTAAACCCTAAACTTAAGGTTCAGTCTTCAGGGTTTAGGGTGCTTCGTTCGGCGCCCTAAGACCAAAGCTTCCTGAGCCCTGGGTCAGACGAAGGCGACACAAACCGCTAATCCAAAACAACCGGTGTAGTGTTTAGGGTTTCCGGTTTAGGGTTTAGGGTTTAGGATTTGCATAAGAGTTCAGACATAGAACAATGTTCTTCCTTAATAATGGCAATACATGGATTACATTTTTCAATTACTTTTTTTTTCTTGGGGGGGGTCCTAAGCGAATAGTAGACCAGGGTTGAATACGAACCAAGAAACACTCAACAATGTTCTTCCTTATAGGGGTCGGGCAATATAGGGATTACCATTTTTTTGTTTTTGCTCTTTTTGATTTCGGGTGTGTTCTTATGCAAATAGTAGACCAGGGTCGAATCTCAGACTGAATAATCACAAAGCTCAAAAGGACGCAGTGACGTTGGAGAGTCTTGGCCAACCTGGCGCCTACCTTTGTCACTGCAACTTGTAGATACCTTGAGGATTTGTTTTATGGAGGGTTTAGAGTTTAGGTTTAGGTGGGTGAGCGGGTGAAAAGTCTACTGGATTCAGGGATTTAGAGCCTAGGAAGTCAGGTATTTCAGGCTTAGGACGTTTAAGCTTCTAGAGATTGAGAGGGTCGAGGGCTTAAGGCCGCCTAAACCCTAAACACTAAACACTAAACCCTAAACCCTAAACCCAAACCCACTTGCCCTACGCCCGGAGTTTCTAATCCCTCAACCCCAAGGCAATGGCCGCATCTTCTGCCACTCACTCACCACCCGCATGCAGCTGTCGGATCGGGTCTTCAACAACGATGCGAGCTGGCGACTGGTGGACTGCGACTGAGCGCGGGTTTAGGGTTTAGGGTTGAGGGTTTGGGGTTTGGGGTTTAGGGTTTAGGGGACTGCGACTGAGCACGGACCATGCCTTTTTTTCACGAGGCTCCAGCACCAATGCCCCTCAAGCAAGGACGCTTCCTTACCTGGGGGTCTGCGAAGATTGGGGGGACCCCCCCCATAGAGATCCCCAAAGAGTGGGATCCCCAAGAAGGTACCCCTACTTTCGGAAACCCCCAACTGAAGTAGGGCGAGACAGACATTCCGAGTCTCCTGTCTAAACATGAGCCATCTCGGACCTGTGCCCGCTCAATCGCCTGCGCTCGGGCTTCTGCAAAAAGCCTGCAAAGACTGTTTAGGCCTTGGGGTTTAGGGTTTGGGGTTTGGGGTTTAGGGTGGGTGAAGGGTAGGATGTTGGAACGTTTGCTTCAGGAAGGGGGCCAGTGGTCTTTAGGGTGTTTCATGCCCGCCCCTTTCATCCCTAAGTTCTTTCACCCAAGGGACTAATGGAGGGACACTTCTAAGGGACCTTAGAGGTTCTTCAGGGGTTCTTTAGGGGACTATAGAAGGTATATATATATATATATATATATATATATAGGGGTTATAAAGGGGAATAAGACTAAGGGTCCCCCTATATATATATATATATATATATATATATATAGGGGTTCTTTAGGGGACTATAGAAGGTACAAATATAGGGGTTATAAAGGGGAAGAAGACGAAGGGTCCCTTCTAGGGGTCCCTCCCCCCCCCTATACCCCTTAATTCATGCTAAGCCCCAAAGCCTAAAACCTTTTAGGGTTAGGGTTTGGGGTTTAGGGTTTAGGGTTTAGGGTTTAGGGTTTTAGGGTTTAGGGTTTAGGGTTTAGGGTTTAGGGTTTAGGGTTTAGGGTTTAGGGTTTAGGGTTTAGGGTTTAGGGGACTATACCCCTTAGTTCATGCTAAACCCCAAAGCCTAAAACCTTTGAGGGTTTCGGGTTGCCAGGCAGCTGTTAACCGTCCCAGGAGCATCGCCTGAGGCAATCGCCGAAGATGCAGGGCGGGCAGCTGCCAAGGTACGGTAGGGTTTAGGGTTGAGGGTTGAGGGTTTAGGGTTTAGGGTTTAGGGCTTAGGGTTCAGGGTTCAGGGTTTAGGGCTTAGGGTTTAGGGTTTAGGGCTTTTGGCGTTGTTCTGTGCGCCTGCCCCTCGCGACACGCACAACGGTCGCTTTTGTGCCCTAGTTAGTACTGTTTATTGCCACCTAAACCTTAAACCCTAAACCCAAAACCCTGAACCCTGAACCCTGAACCCTAAACCCTGAACCCTAAACCCTAAACCCTAGACCCTAAACCCTAAACCCTAAACCCTGAACCCTGAAACCTGAACTGAACCCGAACCCCAGACAAACCGAAATGCTCCTATCCGCAGGCTGCCACCTCCGCCGGCCTCGGCCCGCGTCAAGCAGCGGAGCTCGCAGCAGCACAGGCCATCCCCTTCAGGTTTAGGGTTTAGGGTTCAGGGCTTAGGGCTTAGGGTTTATAGGGTTTAGGTTTTAGGGTTTAGGGTTTAGAGTTTAGGGTTTAGGGTTTAGGGTTTAGGGTTTAAGGGTTAAGGGTTTAGGGTTTAGGGTTTAGGGTTTCGGGTTCAGGGTTTAGGGTTTAGGGTTTAGGGTCTACAAACCCTACAAACCCCCTGAAACCCAATGAGCCCTATAAATATAAGTCCTGCAAACCTTGTAAACCCTGTAACCCCATAAGCCCTCGCGCCCTAAGACCCTGAAGACCTCGAACCCAAAACGCTAATCAAGCCCTAGACCTCCAATCCTCAAACTCTCGAACCCTAAACCCCAAACCCTAAACCCAAACCCTAAACCCTCGAACCCTTAACCCTAAACCCTAAACCCTTAACCCTCAACCCTAAACCCTCAACCCTAAACCCTAAAACCCCCCAAGCAGGCCGGGAGGGCGGCGGCGGAGGCCGCGCTGAGCGGCCAAACCCCGGCAGCCGCCGAGACGACGCCTTCGGCGGTGGCGGCCAAGGCCAGGAAGGTTTCGGGGAGGAATAGGGTTTAGGGTTTAGGGTTTAGGGTTTAGGGTTTAGGGTTTAGGGTTTAGGGTTTAGGGTTTAGGGTTTAGGGTTTAGGGTTCAGCATCTCAAGTCCAAGCATTCACTAGTCAAGAAATTACTCCAGAAAAATACCCACCCGCCCGAAGAATCCCACAACATTAAGAAAGCATTTCACTTCTGGAACGACCTTGCCCAGTAAAAAAATGACCTTGCCCAGTAAAAAAATGACCTTGCCCAATAAAAAATGACCTTGCCCAGTAAAAAAATGACCTTGCCCAATAAAAAAAATGACCTTGCCCAGTAGTGACCTTGCCCAGTAGAAAAATGACCTTGCCCAGTAAAACAATGTCCTTGCCCAGTAAAAAAATGACCTTGCCCAGTAAAAAAATGACCTTGCCCAATCAAAAAAAATGACCTTGCCCAGTAATGACCTTGCCCAGTAAAAAATGACCTTGCCCAGTAAAAAAAATGTCCTTGCCCAGTAAAAAATGACCTTGCCCAGTAAAAAAAATGACCTTGCCCAGTAAAAAATGACCTTGCCCAGTAAAAAAATGACCTTGCCCAATAAAAAATGACCTTGCCCAGTAATGACCTTGCCCAGTAAAAAAATGACCTTGCCCAGTAAAAAAATGACCTTGCCCAGTAAAAAAATGACCTTGCCCAGTAAAAAGATGACCTTGCCCACTAAAAAGATGACCTTGCCCAGTAACATTTTTACTGGGCAAGGTCATTTTTTTACTGGGCAAGGTCGTTTTTTGGGCGAAACGACCTTGCCCAGTAAAAAAATGACCTTGCCCAGCAAAAAAAATGACCTTGCCCAGTAAAAAATGACCTTGCCCAGTAAAAAAATGACCTTGCCCAGTAACTCCTTAACATTTAAATTATATATGAAAGAGAGGTTTAGGGTTACTAGGACCCGGAGTAGGCCCTGATTGTAGTTTTTCATGGAGGAATTACACTCCTTTTGCGAGCTGTGCATACCATCGCTTTACCCTCGACTGTGGCTCAAGTTGCCGATAAAAAGAGGCGTACTTAACGGTTTATATGTTCCCTCATGTGCTGACCTGAAAACTTCAGGTTATCAGCCGTAGAGTCTCACACGATGGCTCTGCAGCTGCAAGATGGGACCATTGATCCCAATGCGCAACATGATCAGACTGCAACAACCAACTACCAACAGTTCAACCAGTACCGTGTACAGCAGCAGCTGATCATCGTGCAACAAAACGAGGATGCAGAGCGAGTTCGTATCGAAGCCGAACGCAGACATGCGGAAATCCTGGACATGGCTACAAGACAGGCCCGTGCAGAAATGGGAGAACTCGAGCAACACGCTGATGCCCAACATCGTGCACGGATTGAAGTCATCAGTGACCGCATGGACTTTGTGGTTCGTGAGCTACAACAACAACTACTGGAGACCAAGGCAGCACTAAGAGGTCGAACGGCGGAGCTTGACCAAGCCGCACAGGACGCACACACACTCAGGATGCACAATCTCGAGCTTGAGGCACGAGGTAACATGGTTCTCGAATCGGAAACTCGCCTCAGGACCCATCTCGAACAGAGTGAATTTTCCCTTGCTAACCTCAGGGTTGTGTACGATCAAAACAGGGAAACCCAGCTGGAATTCTTAGGCAACGAATTTAGAGAGCAAATGCAGTATGAAGAAAACATGTTCACATATGCCATGCATGAAGAAGAGAGTGCATGTGATGTCTTGATTCAGGAGTTGGCTGAGTCGAACCAGCGTTTGATGGTTGAACTTGATGAGGCTAAGGCAATCGCTACAGCGTCATCTAGCCTGCCGAAAGGTGGTGCCGAGCACCAGCAGGCTGTTCCCATGGCCTCAGCACCTCCACCGGGTTTGAACACTGCCGAAGCAAGCCCCCTGCAAGGGGGTGCCGCATGCGGTAATGCACATGTCACGCATGCTGATTTGCCAAATCCGTTGCAGATTCCAGAGAGCATGAAGGGTCTCTTTGAGAGACGGCCCCAGAGGTTTAATCTGGGGGCATCTACTCCTGTTTCGCAAGCCCCTAATGAAGTGCATGAAGCGATTGCAAAAGCGCTCAAGGACTTTGCTACCAAGGATGAGACGAAACCTAAGACTAAGGAAGCCGAGACAGTGAAACTTCCGGATTTTCCCTCAGCGGGATCGTGGAAGACGGCAGTGCGTGAGGCTGTTCGAGCAGCATCTGATCACCCTGATGAAGCATTTGCGTGGATTCAGCAGGTGTACGCAAAGGGTGCGTCACTAGATAGCCTCAACGATGTAGGGAAATTCCTCACGCTAGACACCAAAATCCTTGCAGCATTGTCTAGGGTGGCGAAGGGCGAGCTTGCGAGACAAATACTCAACTACAAGGAGACGGAGGCCACCTGTGGTAGAGCTGTGAGAGGTAGGCAAGTGCTGTTAATGTTTGAAGCCTACTTTAAAACCAACGAAGAAGTTGGCTCCCTCTACTCGGTCGAAGACCTCTTGAAAGTGGCACTGATCAATGATGACCTCGCTACCTTCGTGCATAACTGGGATTCAGTGATTGCTGGACTATCGCATCCTCCAGACGAAACCACTTTGCGAGATATATTCCTCCGTGAGCTTCGCAAGTCCCATCGTTTGAAGTATGATCTCGACATTTACGATCGGGCTCGTGAGGGGACCCCTGAGCACACCTACAAGTTCCTCATGGAAAGCATCAAGAATCTCCTCACACGAGAACGAATTAGGAAGAACAGGGACAAGATTGCTAAGGCCCATGGCGCAAAGTATGGTGCACCTGCCCCTCCTACCCCTGCGAAGCCGTCGGCGCCCGCTCCTTCGGAGCGACGACAGCCATCCAGAGGACGTCAGGGTAGGCAGGTTTGCATGTTGTTTCAGAAGGGTAAGTGTAAGTTTGGGGAGCGTTGCAAGTATGAACACACGAAAGACCCCAAAGCATCCTCAAGGGAGAGAT